CTATCATCCTATAAGCAAATCAATTTGATAAAACACCCAACAACAGCAGTTGAATTTAATAAAACAAAATAAAAAATAAAAAAAGGAAAGGAAAGAAAAACAAAACTGAGCTTTAAAAGAAGAAAATAGAAGGAAAAACACACCACAAAGATCAACAGCGATTTTGAGGCCATTATTGGAGCCATGAGAGAACTCCTCTTCGTTTCTTATGGAGCCATTAGGTCCTCCAGTCTTCGTGTTGACATCATAAGTTCCTGCGTCGTGCCAACTTCACAAAACACACAATGAATCAATACAAACATAATTGGCAAAAGACAACAATGTCCATTTTTCTGCCTTTCTTAATCTCTTTTCCTTTTTTTTTATCCTCCTGTGTGTATGCCCGTGTTCATGTTATTACTAAATTCAACTCAATCTACTACATGTCTACCATTTTCTGGAGAAACAAACGAGGAGGATAGAGGGAGTAGTACGCTAAGCGGAGCATGATGGGAGCGCAATTCTTGAAGGCGATGAGAGCACGGAGATCGCGGCGAGCTTTGTCGATCTCCTTGAGGTACTCTGTGTCAACGGCAGGTAACGCCATTGAAATCTCCTTCACCGGCGCTGTATGCAGTGCGAGGAAACGTTAGGAGACTGAGCGCGAAAGTCTTCACGATTTTGAAACCGAGGATTTGAGCCAGTGAAATGAGATTAGACCGAGCCCAAGTGTGTTGATCCTACGCAATCGAGCTCATTTTCCAGTTAGGCTAATTCCCCACGTGTCTGTGGATCATGGAATCGAAAAGGTCAATTTAATAGAAAATTTTAAAATAAAAAATTATTTTTATAATTTAAATTATTTCAAATTACAAAATATAGATATTTAGATACTTGATATTATCAATATCTAAATAATTTAGTTATCATCTCCTTTCATTAGAAGTAAGAGATTTTGAATTCGAATTGTATGATATACAGGTGAAATAAAATAAAAAACAAAATATAATTGTTTTTCATTGTGCAACCAAGATAAAAAAAAAATACATAATATTCAAAGCCCTTCATTTTTAATATTTTATAATCTCTTATAATTTGGATTATAAAATAACAAATTTATTTTAAAATGAGAAAGAAAAAATATTTTACAATCTATTAATCATCAGAGAGTGAGGTTCCTGGTTGTAAGGGCGTACCTTAGTGTACAATACTACCAAAACTAAATTTGAGTTGTCATTATGTCCTTATTTATTAAAATTGAAAATAATGGAGCCGCCTTTACATCTCAAGCTGTTCAAATGCAGACAAGCAAGAAGAGAAAGGAACCTCAAATGTTGTTCCGAACGTATTCTTTGATGCAAGCACGCCTTCAGGTCCAAGGAAAACAAAGAACTATAAAGAAAAAGAAAAAGAAGACCAAGCTCAAATTACAACGGATTGTGTTCCTTGATTGTGGGTAGGGTAATGATGTTACAATCAATGTACATAAACAAGTAGTCTTGGCAGAAATGAGATGGCTTTCCTGTGAAGAATTAGAGTGATATGAAACAGAGAAGCAACAGAGGAATGGTATGCTCAAGCTGTTCTCCATTGCAATTCAACCTGGATCCGCCCGTTCCTTGAGTCTATGAGATGGTGCTTCTCGTTGATCCTCTTGTTGCTAACAACATCTGAAAGATTGATGTCAACGTAACCCAGGGATTCCTGATTTCAAAAGTGAATATGGTTAATGGCATCCTGAGACAAATAGAGAAGGAAAGCCTAATGCAAAGCGTTTATACTCAAAACATTTCTAGCAAGACAAAAACCACTAGTAAAGAAAAAAAGATGAGAAAGAGATGGTGTGCCAGATATAAGCAAGCAACTGTGCAGTTTGCAGTCAGTACCTTTGGATGCAGGATGCCAATTCTTGATGAGGTGCTAACAACTTCTACGTGAAGTTTATCGTTGATTGGGGGTTCTTCCAGTGTAAATGTAAATTCCTCCCCCCACCTTGGATCTCTGTTCTTCTTAACATGCTGCGATCAACAAGAAGTTATACATAATCATTTACATGGAATGTGAAACACAACCAAGACAAAGTAAATGTATAATAGTTTAGCGTGTAAAAGGGTAGGAGCACATCTCAGAGAGTTTTGTAAAACATTTTACGGGCAAGAACTTGCCCATAAGAAAATGTTAATATAAATTCTGAAACGAGGAAAGTAGGAAAATATAATTGCTATTGTAGCAATATTACCTTAGTTCTTCTCTCCTCCCCTCTGAAAAGAATCCGTGCATATGGATTAGTATGGTGCTTTCCTTCAACATCTTGAGCTTCATGGACTATGACTACAAGCAGCCCTCCACCAGCAGGTGTACCTGCAGGAGCCTTCTGCACCATCTTTGACTCTTCCTCAAAGCTTTTTGGTAAGTCATCCTCTTTTAAGGGTTTATATGTTAATTCGACAAAAAGCTGGCCACGTGATTTATCATTCTGAGGATCATTTGGGTCCAGAGTTTTAAGGAGATTAAGAGTCATAGCATTTGGCTTATCAGGGGTGAGGTCTTTCAAAGGAACCACAGCAATGCCCATCCTATCATCCTTGCCAACCTAAGAAAGAGAACAAACAATTTTAGCTGACAGCACAGAAACAGCATCTGCAAATCAAGATGAGTAATTAATTTGGATTAGCATACCTGCTCCCAGTCAAAAACATTAAGCTCTAAAACCTGAGTCTCTGGATCTCTGACAACCAAATTAAATTCCTGATTCCACTCAGGATTCAAGTCCCTGTGCTTCACAGCTGTTTTCTTTGATGGAGCTCTATCTTCTGTAAGCTTTAGTTTCACATACGGATCTGATGCACCCAGAAGATCTTTCTTTCTTAGCTTCATTGCCCTCAGAACCTTCACATGGAGTATACCAACAGGTCTCCTGGAGGCTCTGCAAGTTCCAAATGTGTTTATTAGGCAAAACATACAAGTGAAAAATGAAGTATCATAACTCACAGAAAGACTCCAGCATCAGTTAGACATACTTTGCTGGATCCAAAATTCCTATTTCTAGGGTTTGGGGCCATAGATACATGTTGGCAACCTGATCCTTGATAAACTCCTGCAATAAAACCGCTTTCTAGCATTAAAAACCATGAATGATGAACTTGTTTCCATTTCAAACAAATAAAAATAAAAAGTAAAATCCCGAAAGGAAGCACATAAGGTTATCACAAGATGCATAAGGAGAGAAGCAAATAGGATGGTGTATTAACTGTTTTAAGCAGTTTGAAGAAATCCAATGTGTTTATTCACAGAAAAAAACACTCCTATACATTTGTAGAGGCAAAACAGATCAAAGCATCTACCGCTTCTAACTAAATAAGCAAAACTTCCCTGTCAAACTGAGACACCTCACAGAGAAGAAGCTTTTTAACAACTAATCTCACAATCTCAGCTAACAGCTATTTACATGGAATAAACAAATGGAAAAGAAAAATGAGAACATCAAAAGGACCCTTGAGGTATATTACCTGAACAAACCTGTAGAGGCCAGGTATTGACATAAGGTCAGCGCCAATGAGCTTTAGCCCAAAGTCCACATGAGGCTACAAAGAACAAGGATGAATTGATCACCGTGAGGGGGTAAATAACGAAACCACCATTAAGCAACCCTCTCCTCCATAACGAACATCAAATTCATGATGAAAATAAAATAATCAACTCTTCTTGGTCAATTCTTTAAATAGTTAATCAGGAAAGTATGAAGCCTAACTTATCAAAATTTCAGTTTGTGTAATGTATTTGTGACATAAACAATTTGAATGAGACGTCAATTTATCCATAATTTACATACCTTCTCCATGAGTGACACATAGATTTTTGCAAAACAGGGGAAACTCGGAACCAGGGGCTTCAGTGTGATACGTGGCTCCAAAAAAATTTGCAAATCTATAGCCTGAAATTAACCAAACCACACAAATTAGCAAAAAGCACCTTCTCTTCCACTTTGAAAACATGAATACTTCTTCCTCAATATGCATTCTAGTACCATTGAGAAATATAACAACCTGGACAGTTGCCTTCAATCCAAATGCTTTTACAGCAATTGTGACATTGGGATTTCCGGCCCACTTTATTGATGGTTGCATAATAAGCTCCTTCTCATCAGTGGCATAAACTTTTATACCTGACAAATAGAGACATTAATGTAAACATCATCAAGCTTTTGTTGTGATGCCTTTCTAATGTTAAATGAAGTTATAAGACATTAGCAGGTGATAGAAACAACTAGTACACAGGAGAAGTAGATAAACCTTGGAAAGTTGGAGGCAAAGACCCTAATGTCAGTGTTTGAAATTCAACGGAGTCGATTTTATATCTGGGAATTTGCTTCTCAATTATGGGCATTGCAATATCCTTGGCAATTTTGCAAATGGCCTAGAAAACATAAAGCAAATGAGCTTTAAAAAAAGGTCCAAAACAAGAATTAAGCTACTACCAAAGGTTATATTGTGAGTAGGATCTAAAGCCAAACCTTGTCAAGATAAGGCCACATGTATTCAATAAACCTGTTTAGCCAGTCAATCTTCAAAGAAAATGAAGTTGTTATAAAGACAATTCAGTCAAGACAAGGAACGTGGATAGAAGAGAAAGATGTGACAGACATTAATAACATACACGATCATAGTCTGGATTTTTCACCCAAAGCGGTATCTCGGGAAGTATACGTTGCAAAGTCTGTGAGTCTAGATCAACCAGTGGACGAATTTTGGGATCCTGATCAAGCAACAGTAACCAAATAATTATAAACAACAGAAAGTGCAGATGAATATGTCAATCTTCAAATATTCATAAGTAAGAGCTTGCACAATTCTCTTTCCCTCCATTCCCAAAAGTTGAAAAAGGAAAAAAAGAGAGAGTTGAACATATACTCCCCCATCTGAATTACGTCTGAACCCCAAAGGTATCACTCACAAGTAATTCAAATGGAAACAGAAATTGTTGCATTCTAAAAGTTCAACCAGCTTTGAGAATAATTATTTTCCTCCTTGTCCACAAGTTACCAAAACAAGAAGTTAACTAGTTTATTTAATTGCTCCGGCAATTTAGAACAACAGATAAAGTAAAGAAATCCTGTCTCACACGACAAAATAGTATCATAATTTTTTTTTCTCTAAAATCTCTAGTTTAGTTTCCTATTGCTCAAATCCTAAAAAAAAAACAAATATATATATATAGATACAATTTTTATATACAACTTTTTCATACATATTAATTAATGATCATATCTTAATTAACATAATAATGTACGCATTCATCCCCTGTGGAAGTAATAAATAAAAATCATCCATCTATGATTATCTAAAAAAGGCCACAAAACAATTTATCCGTTTTTATTTGTTACTCTTCTTGACGTTGACCAATCACCTAGTGTCAAGAAGACGGAGTTGGTAAAAAGAGCCATCCCAATTCTCAAGACGAACTACAGCCAGTTTCGTTGCTGGGTCATTTGAAAGCATGAAAGATATGAAACTCTTAATCCCATGTGAGTTTGCGCTTTAAACTAGTACTATTCTACAAGTCAACAAACCCAAACAAACATATATAGAAGCACTATCTCATAGACATGTCCATACAAATGAATACTTAGAATATTGAATGCAAAGAAAAAAGACGAAAGATCGAAAGATACCTTAACATCGGTAGGCTGGTAGTAGATGTAGAGATAATAACCAATCACAAGACCCATCGACATCCCAACTCCGAATCCACAAAACCCCAACACGATGCTAACGAACCCCATCTGTTCCAATCCCCCTGAGGCCAAAAACAAGAGGTTTTCCAAGAACCCAACAAACCAAAAGGCCTTCTGGGTTCTGACACACCTTCTCAACTCAACAAGACAACCGCTCCAAATCTCCTCGTACTCTTCTCATCCGGCATATCAAATCAAATTAAACAAAAGGTAAAGAACATTACGACCAAACAAAAAAACGTAGTTATATTATACAGAGCGGAATAGTAACGTTGTACTAAGGAAATGCGCGGATGACCGAAGTGTCTTCGGCTGTCCGATCCGTTTTCGAAAACAATAGAAGTCGTTATCGGCAGTTCGGAAGATCTGAGGGGAAGAAGGTGAAGTAGTCCGGGATGTCTTAACGTGGAAGACAACGGAGGGACAACGCAAAGTATAAGCGTTTCGTTTTCCCTCGGGTTTTTCCTTTTTCTTTTTTCAAATTCACGTTATTCTTGGAGGGGCCCTTTCTGACGTGGAGATGCGACACGTCGTCATAATTTTATCCAGTAAAATGTAGACACGTATAAGATCATTACATCGTATTGGTACACGTGGAATTGTACGGACGAGGTGATGGTCCTGTAGTGTGACGTCCATGGAGGTGATTACAGGAGGAAACGACACGTGTTGTGCTGGCTCGAGATTGGTCCCTCCTTGAAAGCAAGAGCCGAAAAAGGCGCATACGTCGTGGTGCCGACAAACAGTGCACGTGCTTGAGGAGTCAGAATTGCCCATCTGAGTGGAGAACGAAAATAATATTGAAATGGGTATTATCGTCTTTATGCTATTATTATTCACAAGTTAAAATATCATTGGATGGGACCCGCTTGCCCGGTTAAATCTTACTGTAATTTCCTTTTCTTTATGATTATATATTAAAAATAATTAATATTTATTACTGAACAAATTAACATTAATTTATAAATAAATATTTTTTAATAATCAATTATTTAAATAACTCAGTGATAATTTTTTTTTTGTTAAAACTTAAAAGTAAAAAATTTTAAATTTAAATCGTATAACATGCGAGTAAGATAAGATAAAAGATATGAAAAAATTGTTTTTTATTGTACAACTAACATAAATTTTTTTTAATATTATAATAAATTATTTAAAATTTAAAAATCTATAAAATTTTACTTTTTTTTTATATGTTACATGGTTCGAACATACAACCTACATGAACTAAATAGTCATAACCTAATGTCTAATACTATTAAACCGAAACAAACCATTCTATAAAATTATAATTAAATTGATGATCTTACAAAATTTTATAATAATAATTATCTGAGCCAACCATATGGTCTCTAGTTCGTCTCTTCTTTAACAAATGTTCTTGTCCATGTCACAAGGAGGATTCTTATGCATCCAATCCTTCTCTTTTTTTTTTTTTTT